AGAGGAGCTGATACCAAGGGCTCAAGTAGAAAGAAAATGTTTTGAAAATGATGATGGCAACATATGTACAAATGTGCTTGATACAATTGATGTATATCCATGTATAAGAGCTGTAAGAGCCCCCAATAAAAATTATTTACAAACAAACAAAAATTTTTAAAGATTTATCAGTGGTTAATTGATAGACCATCTCTTCCTTCCTCATCTGTTCTGTCTGGAAGCTGCTGAAACCTATTCAACATGGGTGACTGTGTTGATATTTAAAATATTGGTGACATAGCTTTTATCATCACAGCAACACACAAGCCACCATAGTATGTATGATAAACAATATATAGTTTATACATGTAATATATTCATTTATGTAACTATAGTTTAGATCTATATGATGGCAAATGTATAGGCTTGTCATTTTATATAAATGAGTTCATATACTTATACTTTTGTGATTGATCTATTTCATTCAGCATCATGTCTTCAAATTCCCTGGATGTTGTAGCATGTATCAGAACTTCATTTCTCTCTATGCCTGAGTAGCGATCCATCTTATGTATGTACCACGTCTTGCTTATCCATTCATAGTTGATGGACATTTTGGCTATTTCTGCCGTTTGGCTCTTGTGAATCGTACTGCATTGGACATTGGTGTACATGTGTCTGTTCACAGGGTACACACCTAGGTATGGAACTACTGGGTCATATGACAGGTATTTAAAAAAAATTTTTTAAATAGTATTTGTGTTTTCAATAAACGACACAGCTGATTATATTCACATTGAAGTTTCTACTAACATTACTCAGTGACATTGGTTACTTTCCTCACGTGATGTGGACACTCTCATTATTCCTGTTCTAGCTGTTCCATTTCCAGTAACCCACTTTCTCATCTTTGTTTTTAAAGTAATTGTTGACAGTTTATACAGTTTGTTTGCTTGTTAAAGCAGCACAGTGCTCATGGATTTATGGGGGTATGCTTCCTTCTGGGAGCCGATCTGTTATTTAGCTGAAATGTTACTCTTGATTGTCTCGGTTCAAGGCTTAGAGGATCATCCACAGCAGCAGTTCCAAGGAGTCTTCCAGTTTCATCCAGTTCAACACACAGACGTTTTTTCAAGAATGTGAGGTTCTGCCCCACATTTTTCTCCCATTCTGTCAGGATTCATCTATTGTGGCCCTGACCAGAACAGCTGGTAGTGCATACCATCTAGTTCTTCTGTTCTCATGGTAAATGAGACTGGTTAACGTAGACCATTCTTGTTGACTAATTTCGTTTCCAAGTATTTGGTTTCTTTCTTTCTCCTTTACTCCAATAGTTTGTATCTTAGAGGGCCAAGCCTAGCTTTAAATACCCCAGAATGCTACTCACTAAACAAAGATACAGAATATAAACTTTATGGACTCCATTATGCCAATTGACTGAGTTGTCCTAAAAGACTGTAGTTTGCAGCTTTCACCGCTTGCAAACCAATCATACGAGATGTTTGGTTAATCTAAGGCATATTCATAACTGCCATTATATGACGATGCATGCATGCATGCATACACTTATACACCTATATATTTGAAGAGGCTCCAAAAGTCCTTGACATTTTTCTATTTCCTTTTAATTCCATTTTACAAGAACTTTTAAACCTATTCTTGTAATTTTATAAGTGAGATTATACCCTATTTGCCCTTTATGAGATTGACTTGTCAAATATGGATTATATTGCTAACTGGAAGGTCAGTGGTTCAAACCCACCAGCCACTCCTCAGGAGAAAGCAGCTGCTTGCTTCTGTAAACATTTATAGCCTTGGAAACCGTGTCAGGAGGCACTATGAATCAGAATGGACTCCATGGCCGTGGGTTATCGACTTATTTCAACAGCATAAAGTCCTTCAGATTAATTTACATTATAAAATATTTTGAGGACTCCTCATTCTTTTTGGCCAAGTAGCATTCCCTTTCCATGCATCCACTGATAGTCACGTTCGTAGTTTTCATCTTTTTGTTATTGTGAATAGTGTTGCAATGAACATAGTATACATTCTGTCATTAATTTTTGAGGAGCTACTATACTGTTTTCTCTCAAGAATGGTTGTGTTCCAATTTTTCTTTCATGTGTTATTTAAATGGATGGTGGTGGTGATTCACTTGCTATGACATGTTGCTTTTGTTGGCTGCATTGTAAAAAGTGATTTCGAGACTTGTTTTAAAATCGAAGGGTCTTACAGAAGGGTTATGGGGAGACAAGTCAGTCAAGAGGCTGTATAGCACCAACGAAATACACAACTTTCCGCTTCTTAAATGCTTCCTCCCCCCCCACCCCTATCATGACCCCAGTTCTACCTTACAGATCTGGCTAGACCAGAGCATGTATACGGGTACAGATAAGAGCTGGAAACACAGGAATCCAGGACAGATAAATAATGAGTATTGATACCAAGAGAGGAAGGGGAAGTGGGGGAGGAAAGGGGGGAACCAATCACCATGATCTACATATAACCCCCTCCCAGGGGGACAGACAACAGAAAAATGGGTGAAGGGAAACCGGTCAGTGTAAGACACGAAGAAATAATTTATAAATTATCAAGGGTTTGTGAGGGAGGAGGGAGCAGGGTGGGAGCGGGGAAACGAGAAGCTGATACCAAGGGCTCAAGTAGAAAGAAAATGTTTTGAAAATGATGATGGCAACAAATGTACTAATGTGCTTGACACAATAGATGGATGTATGGATTGCAATGAGTTGCATGAGCCCCCAATAAAATGATTTTTTAAAAACGCAGGGTCTATCTACAATTTACCAGAACTATTTGAATTTATGATGAACTACCTAGAGGGATTTAATCATAAATTTAAATTGTTGCAAAGGATGTACACTCTGGTAAATAGTAAATCCTGGGACGCTAATATGAAATAAAAGAATACATCATTCAATATTCTCATTTCTTTCAGCCACGAAGCTATGGCTCACTTTTGTTTTCTTCACTTTTCAGGGCCTACTCAATCTGCTCCATTTCATCCAAAGCCTCACAGAAGCCTCTGCCATTCAACCGTGTGGCACAAAAAAACCCTGACATTGATTTCAAATATTGCAAAGCATCCCTTCAGCAGTGCAGTAAAGACTTCTCACCTCAACTCTCAGATCCAGCACATTGCTAATGATTCCCGTCTGACTTGAGAATGAGGCTAGTGGATCTTGCCTCAAGCCCAATTAGTTCTTTATACTTTAGAATATACCTGATGCTAAAACCATTCCAGGAGTCCTGGTGACGTAGTGGGTTACATGGTACGCCACTCCATAGAAGAGGCTTTCTATTCCCATACGATTTAGTCTTGGAAACCCACAGGGCAAATTCTACCCGTCCTAGAGGGTTAATATGAGTTGGACTTGACTCAATGCAGTTTGGTTTTTCAGCCATCCTGAAATTTTCTGTTCTCCAGATTATAGTGATTTAAATAAATAAATAAATATATATATATATATACACACACACACACACCTTCATGCTACCACTAAGAAGCCCTAGTGGCACCTTTCGCCAAGTATTCAATAGCTAACCTCAAGGTCGTCAGTTCAAACTTACTAGCTCCTTGAGAAAGGTGAGACTGACTGCTCCCATAAAGATTTATATCCTTGGAAAACTCAGGTCACTATGAATTGGAATGAGTCCAAGGCAATGAGTTTTTTGGTGGATGTTTGCACCGGTGCAAATGCCTTTCATTATCTGTTTATAATATTTTCTAGGCCAACTTTGTGTCACTGTCTCTGCAAAGTCTTTCCTGATAGGGCCCTGAATTTGCCAGTCCCACCCCTGCTTTTGCGCACAGTATATTGTACAACGTCTCATCTACATAACACTTTGACATTAGTGCAGCAGGCCAACCCAAAAAAAAAAAAAGAAAAAGCAAACTCACTTCCATTGAATCAATGCTGACTCATAGCAACCTCCTATGAGTTTACAAGACTCTGTTTATGGGAATAGAAACCCAGTGTTTCTCCTGAGCTGCTGCTGGTGGTTTCAAATGCTGACCATTCGTCGCAGCCCAACAGATAGCCACTACACCACTAGGGCTCCTAGCGCAGTGGGCCAAGACAACAATCACCGTTGGAAAGCCCCAAGACACCAGTGGGGACTGGTGTATCATCTCGTCAGCATATTGCTATTTGTACACCAAATGAAAAAGATGTCATTTAGATGCTGGATGGATAATGAATAAGTTTCAATTATTATAAGCATACTTTTTGGGAGGCGCAGGGGAAGTACGGCTTGCTCATACTAGTCTCTTTGCTGCCATCTACATTAGTTCATCTCTCTCATCAGGGTACACAATCACTGAGCGGAAAGGCTAGTATGTGCCTCCCTCCTCGCCTCCATCAGTCCATGGATGGACAGAGTGGCTGCAGCAGTGGGCTCAAGTACAGGAACAACTGTGAGGAAGGCACAGGACTGGGCAGTGTTTTGTTCTGTTGTGCACAGGGTTGCTGTGGGTCGGAAAGAATGGCACCTAACAACAGCAACACCCTGTTCGATCGGAGAACTACGAGAGTCAGAGTTGACTCGATGGCAGTGTTATTATTATTGAGACTAGAGAGAAAGGGCATATCCCCCACCCCACCACACAAGTGGAAGCTGGGCCCCACTGAAGAGAAAGCCAGTCTTTGCAGGGTAATTTCAATATAGTTCTCTATCTTTATTGATACAGTGACGCGTACACGAGGGAAGTAGTGCTTTCCTGGAAGAGTGGAATCCATCACATTTCAGACGTGGAGGTGAACCCTGATGTGGCCAGGGGGCTCTGGCAGTCAGAGCAGCTGCAGTAGGGCTCAGAGGAGCACTCTTTCTTAGAAGCAGGCTTTTGAGAAATGATCATCCCCTCCAGGTCTCTGACTTTGCTTTCCACCATCTGGAGTTTTTTCAAGATTTTCTCTTGTAGACCCAAGGACAGGAACAGATTTTTATTTTCGTGAGTTGAGAAAATGTTTGCTTCCGAGTTGGACACTAAAGCCTGAAAAAAATCTGAGCCCTTCTTGTAAAGTTTGTAGAGTGTGGTTATAAACAATAATATTCTCTAGAAGGAAGGGGGGAAAAAAGGCAAGTGTTATTTACCTGTGCACGTGAAATGCAACATTTTACCAGACATGCAAAATAAAACAATGCATAAGAGCTCCTCAAAACACTCCAATGCCTGCACACCTGGAAAAAATCCAAGCTCACAGCCATTCAGTCTATTCTAACTCATGGCACACCTACAGGGCAGGGGGGAACCGCCCTGCGGGCTTCGGAAACAAACTTTACAGGAGTAGAAAGCCTCTTTCTCCTGCAGCATACCATGTTCTTCCTTTTATCTGCACCACATACTAGGCCAGTAGGCAGGACAGGGACTGCTATTTGCATTTAATTAAACTAGTAAAGATTGTAATACGAGATACCATTGCAAAGTTTGTCATGCTCTGGGCTCCTTGCTAGGAGTTCCCTTGCCTATATAAAACCCGTTTATATAGGAAACAGAACTGCACGACCATTTAGACACCTTACACTACACACGTTGTCATAGACTGGGTAGGGGTGGAGCCAGAATTGAAATCCAGAAATTTGGACTTCTAAGTGTGCTCGCAGGAACCAGTGGTTTAAGAAACTGAATTTCCTGGTCATGGTAAAAAAACAAAAAAAACAAAAAAGATTCAGTAAATTAGGACAGAGACCTAGCCAGGTTGAGGATTAAACCAATGCCCTTTTCCTTATCATGATAGTTTCTAGTACCATTAGACAGTGCTTATTTGGACCTAAGCACCATGCACACATTATCTCCATTGTCTCAGAACCACCCCAGGAAGCAGCCACAGTTAGCAAGCCCATTCTACAGATGAAGTGATTCCAGTGAGCAAGAAGTGGATCTGGGGTTTAAACCCAAGTCGTCAGACTCAGAACCCATGCAATCAGCCCCTCCTTTGTAGTGCCTCTTTTCCTCGCTGGGGTCTCTGGAGGGTTGCAAGTTCCTCTTTCTGATTGAACTAAATATTTACAAACTAGAGCATACCACACAATCAGACAGAGTATGTTTTGTGCCACACACACACACACACACTCTCTCTCTCTCACTGAGACTTAAGGATGGCTAGATTCCAGTAAATAAGATTTTGGAGAAGCACTGGATTTGGAATCCTAAACATTGAGTTTGAATCCTAGCTTTGCTAGCTCTTACAAACTACTGGAACCTGGGCAGGTAATAACAGAGTTTCCTCACCTGACAATAACAACTTCTCTCTTCATTTACCAAGCCCTCATTAACCCCTACCTCCTCCTCAAGTTTCCACTGAACCTCAGTGAACTAGTTTCCTTTTTGTCTGGTGATAATCACCTCTATTTCATGGGCTTATTGGGATTCTCAAAGCACTTTGATCTCCCACTATCATTCCTCATGATTAAACCGAAATATGTGCAATCCTAACTGGTGCTCAGTCCGCCAATTACCACCCTTTCCCCAGCAGAGCCCGTCTGTTTAGGGACCCTTGTCTTTGGTCTGTAACACAAGGAAATAATGCGGTCACTGCAATGACTTTTGTGATTGCACAGGCCTCCACAGTAGCTACAGGTCTCAGGAAGGGCAGATCTCCTTCTTGCAATGTCTGTCCTATAAAAGGTTCTCTACAGCAGGTCTGGTGCTGAAATGGTTACTTGTTGGGCTGCTAACCACACATCGTTAGCAGTTCGAAACCACCAATAGCTCAAAGGGGGAACGATGAGGCTTTCTACATCTTTGAGCTGTAAGAAACCCAGAGGGGCAGTTCTCCCGTCTTAAAAGGTTACCAGGAGTCAGGACAGTGAGAGTTTTACATAGGGTCCGACACATGGTAGGCATTCAAATGCGATCAAATAAATTTTGAGCTAAGGCTGCCTTCTCAGCGTATACACTTGATCTTTAAAAACGACAGCAAACAAGCCAAAGACCATTGTTAGAAAAAGCATTTTTATGCTCAAAACCAAATCAGCAGACCCTTTCAAGGTAACCCCATTTCAACCATCTTCAGAGACAAGGGCTCACCCTTGCTCACCTGCATGACCTCGAAACTAGGTGGCAGGTATATGGGAGAGAACAATTGAAATAACATTTCAATGTATAACTATTTAAATTTCTTTGTAACAAAAGAGTATAACCTGAATTGACCGAATACTTCTTTTCGATAAGGCATATAATCCTATTGTCAACAAGATAAAAAAGCAAATCCTCAGGAAAACTTGCACAGCCGGAGCAATACTATGTAGTATCCCCAAATGTGTTTGCTGGGGCTCACTAGTTTCTCCCAGAAGAGTTGCTTGTAGCCAATTCCATACTGTGCTGAGAGAGAGAGTATCTATAATGTCTTCCCAGGATGAAGACAGCAATGTTGACATTTTAAGATAACTGCAGCTCCAGGAACTACATGTGCAGAGGCTTCAGGAACCTGGAAATGAGTTAGGGAGAGCAGTCCGGAATTCCAGGTGTTCTGCAGCCATTGTGAGCCATTGCTTTGTGATGTCACTCTTCTGAAGGTCAGCTTGCTCTCCACTCATCCAGTAAACGCTCCCAAAACCACTAAGCTCTGTCCTGGGTTTTCTGTTCAGTCCTGTTGCTTTCTGCAGAGATGGAAATACTCCATGTTGCCTGTCAAACATGGTTGCCACTCGCCACTTAAAATGTGGATCGTGCTATTGAGAAGCTGTATTTGACATTTTAGTTCAAATTAAATGTAAACGCTCACATGTGGCTAGTGGCTATCATAGTGGACAGTGTATAGAACATTTCCACCAATTGATGAAATGGATAAAGGTTAATTTCATGTCCTCACATTGAGGTTTAGTGGAAATTTGAAAAGGTAAAATCTAATGATAACTTTCAAGGACTCTTCAAGGACTCTTGGTGACGCTATCAGGTTTGACTGTTAGCCACAAGGTTAGTGGTTCGAACTCAGGGGCTACTTCTTGGGAGAGAGCGGAAACTATCTGCTCCAATAAAGATTTACAGCTTTGGAAATGCTACACAGATAGGGTTGGTATGAGTCAGAATTGACTTAATGGCCGTGGGTTTGGTTTTTATTCATTTTCTAAGCACTTTATAAATGGTAGCATGCAATATTGTAACCCATATGACAAAGTATCAAATCAATTATTTCCAAACTAGTACTTACCATTTACTAGTACCCATTTTTGTTTATTAGTGTCTATTATTGGTAATTACTAGTAGCAATCAGTCCTGTACTGTGGTACCTATCATGAGGATTTAAGACACCCCCCCCTCAAAGAGTTCACATACCAATTGTACAATCTAACTTGTGAGGTCAGATTATAAATGCTGCAAGAATCTAAAGGCGAGTTTGCATCAAGGGGAAGAACAGGGGGAAAAGAAAGGAGAGAAAGGGTTAGCTATAACAAAACTTTTTTTTTGCCTTTGTTAATATTTAATGATCATTTTAATATATAGTCAACAAGAATGGTACTTCACAGCATAGGTATTAACATAAAGATACTTTTAAAAAATGATTTGATGTCCTTTTAGTGAAATAACAATTTGCATGCAGCATCAAGATGAGATATGATTACGGTGCTCAATTGAAAACCCCCTCTAGACCAGGTCAACACATACTCTCACGGTAAGATAAGACAAATGGAGGCAAATGGAATGCATTAAAAAAAATGTTGATACATTGTGGAAAACGTTACTAAGGGGACTGAAAGTTCTTTGTACAAATTGCCAAATGGGAATCTTAGTTGTGTCAACTTTCACCGAAAACACACTAAAATACTATTTTTTTTAAAAGGCCTGAGACTATAGAAGATGATCAACTTGGAGAAATCAGCAGGAATACGGTTTTGTTCTTGCAGGCAGGGGAGGAATGAAGGCTACACCCAGAGAGTGAGGCTACATGGTGTTGGACTGACTGTACTTATGTTAAGGAGAAATCTATGGGGGAGGGAAGGGAAAACAGGAGCTGATACCAAGGGCTCAAGTAGAAAATGTTTTGAAAATGATGGTGGCAACATATGTACAAGTGTGCTTGATAACAATTGATTTATGGATTGTTATTGTATCTGTAAGAGCCTTCAATAAAATGATCAGTTAAAATTTAAAAAAGAGAATCTAGTTAAAACATGCATCTCATGTTTGATTCCTCCCTCGTGGACACTGTAACACCTCCAATGATAAACTTATTAACTAAGACAGGAAGTGCTATCTCCCTTCAGACAGAGCCCTCCCCAACCCCTCCCCCCTTCGGTAGTGATTCACTCATCTTCCATGTCATACTGTTGAGGTGGATCAACTTAAGAAACACCTACTTTGAAGCCTTCAGTAGGCTCAAAATGCCTTTCAAAATAAATCCAAAATCTAGATTATGGCTCGGAGGTGTGTTAAAAGGCAAAAATTGATATGATAAAATAATAATAAATTATAAATTATCAGGGGTTCGGGAGGAGGGGGGAGCAGGGAGGGAGGGGGAAAAATGAGCTGACACCAGGGGCTCAAGTGGAAAGTGGGTGTCATAAGAATGATGAAGTCAACATATGTACTAAAGTGCTGGACACAGATGACGTATGTACAGATTGTGATGAGTTGTATAAGCCCCTAATAAAATGATTATTTAAAAATAAATAAATAAATAACATGCTAAAAAAATAAATAAAATATCCATCTAGATTAAAAAAAAAAAAAGAAAACCATATTTTCCGTAGTTTATTATAAACATTAAAAACAAAACCAAACCCTGTTCTTGTTTGATTCCCAGGGAAAAAAAAGAAAAGAAAAAAATTGTGCTCACTTACCTAATCTGTTCTCCGTGCCTTTTCCCATTTTATTCTCTCAACTCCAGCTACACTGGATTTGTAAATTCCTCTACTATACCGAGCTGTTGCAACGCCAAGCCTTTGCAAATAACTGGTTATCGTCTTTCTTTGCCTGGCTCACTCATATTGATTCTTCGCACCTGAGTTGAAATATCCTCAAGGAATGAAATCAAGGAATCAAACTATTCTGACTCACAGCGACCCTATTAAAAAACAGCAACGCAAAAAAAATAAATAAATAAAATAAAAACAAAAAACAGCAACGCCCAACCAACCCCACTGCCAGAGTCCGTCACAACTACTCATCGCTAGCCTAAGAAGGTTTTCCAAGGCTGTAAGCCTTTACTGGAATAGATAACCTCATCTGAGCAGAGCAGCAGTTAGGTTTAAACAGCATATATTACAATTGGCAGTCCAGTGCTTAGCAAACGGTGCTACCAAGGGTGTAAAAATCTCTACAGGAACGGAATCTTAAGCTTTCTCCCTCTGCGGCTGGTGGGTTCGAACTGCCAACTCTGCTGTTAGCATCCAATGCTTATCCCACAGTGCCACCAGGGCTCCTCCTCAGGAAAACGTTATTTTATTGATCCCAATCACATGGAACCTCCTTTACACTTAAAAAAATTATTTTTTTCCCCTTTACATCTCTTTTCACTAATTATTTGTAGTGACTTGTTTAATGCCTATTTTCCCTATGACTGTGAGGTCCATAATACAGGAACATGCCTTAGTGTGTCTTGTTCAACACCTATCCGCAGGGGTGAGCCAACACAACATGCTTAGCAAATATCTGGCTCCTTATTCTTCAGATGGCTTTCTTACTCTTGTCTTCTTTTCCAGGTTAAAACTAGCAAACACATTTTGGCCAGTTTTTACAGCTGCCTATCCTGGTTACCTTCTTTAAAGTGGTTCAGATCTCAAGGTGCAGTCTTGTCACAGAATCCACTCCTCCAAACGAGTACCCAGCAGGCCAGAGACAAGGAAGCCAGTTTCTAGATCCAGCTGTACACAGTAGTGAACTCTGGCCCCTGAATCAGTGAAAGTTAAGAGCTGTGATTCATATGTCTACTTCTGGGAGACAGAGAAAGGGGGAGGAGAGGAAACTGAACATTTCTAAAGGCAAACCTACTTCACAGGTTACACGTCATTCACAGAAAACATGCGCCAGGTCTCCGTCTCTTTGCTCCACAGGGGCAATATCAACACTGGATATAGGGCTGTGAACTTGGGCCTAAAAGACCTGGGTCCTACCTGTCTGAGAACTTCCAATGCTCTCACTGTCCACAGAAAATGTACTGTTTTAACTACAGAACCATGTTGTTTGGGGCCCTCCAAGTACACCTGCAACCTTTCCAAGGGTTACTCTTCCAGGCTGCTCCTCTGATACCTTCAGTCATAAGAGATTGAAAACTAGGAGCAATCTCTTCCTAGCTTGCTAGCTTGGCAAGACATTTTATCTCAAGTTTCTCAACTGTCAAGTAAGGATAATAATAGTACCTACTTCGTAGGGTTATGAAAATTCAGTGAGTTAATTTTATGAAAAAGTTAAAAACTGTTAGCAATTACCCTGAATTCTCACAGCACTTCCTACATGTATTTGAGGCTAGTGCTTCTAGAACTTCTGTGCCCAAGAATCTTCTGAATGCACATTTTCCAACCAGTAGCCCTGGGGTGAGGTCTGAAATTCTGTATTTCTACCCAGCTACAAGAGATGTCCATTCTGCTGGTTCTCTGCCGTACTTTGAATATGTTCTAAGATACTCTGGTCCTCCTTTCATCTTTATCCTTTGTGACCCATAGGACAAAGTGCCCACCTACATTCGTGGACAGAGTTCTGGTGGTGCAGTTGTTAAAGACCTTGGCTGTTAACCATAGGGGAGAGATGTAGTCTGCTTCTGTGAAGATTTACGTCTTGGGAACCCTGTGGGGGCAGTTGTGCTTTCTGTACTTACTTTGACAAATATAACTTAGATACTGCAATCTCCAGAAATATCCAGCTCTTCAAAAATGGATTTAAACATTTGGTGAATGACTACACCTCCACTATGAAGGCTAGAACAGCATATGGCCATGGCAGGTCAGAAGTTAGGCAACTCAGACTGAAGGGGATGGGATGGGGAGCAAGTTCCTTCACAAGTTCTCATGAACATAGGACACCAAAGCAATGGAATTCTGGGAAAAGGCAAGATAGACCGGGAGAACCTCAATTCTGCCCACCATTATAGGGGTTTGTTTTTAAATGAGAAGGGCTTTGAAAACAAAGCCTTTCAGTTCTGTGCCAGGGTTGAAGCAAACCCCAAACAATCATCTATTAAAAGTGATTACTGAGAGCTACAAAAATAGCAACCTGCTGTTTTTAACATGAAATATCATCTTCAATAAAGATGAAGTTAGCTGCTCTTACTGAAATAGAAAAGGCTTGTATTTAAAATAAACTGCCAGCTGGGTTCTGGAAATGAGAGCTAGGCTCCACCTTGGATTCGCTTGGTTCTTCCAGAGGGTAGGAAATAAGCGATATGAATGGATATAGGTCAGCCCTAAGCAATTTAGTAGTTTTCTCTTGTTCTGGGATAAATTTGAATCTCTTCCTCTCCCATGTGAAGAGCTAAAAAAGTTGGGCCAACAGGTGTTTCCCATTCACAGAGCACAGAATGGAAGCTTTCAAGCATACCTTCTCCCTCTAGTAATGAGAACACTGAAACCTTCAAGAGGAATTAGCTGAAAGTCCCAAGGAATCAGCAGTGGCCCTAGCTTCCAAGGTTAGAGCCGTTCCTAACACTTGTCTTACAAGTATCCTGTTATTTGAATCAGGGTTTCCAACCAGTTCATTCTGGTTCAACCCCTACTGAGACTTGTGCCCAAGTCCCAGAAGTGAACACATTCTACATTTGAACAAGATTAACTAATCCAGGTATTTTGTTAAAATATGGATTCTGACTAAGTAAATCTAGGGTAAAAAAGCAAATTCTAAGCAGGGAGTCAAACCAGAATGAACCAGTTCAAAGCTCTGACCTGAACTAGTACCCTGCTTGGGCATGGTGGAATGTTTTAGATTTTAAGGCAAGGAGGTGGCAAAATTAAATTCCGAAGAGTTGAAGAAACAGGGAGACATTTAACCCTCCTATTGTGAAATGACTTTCTGCTGTGAATTTTTGTTGATGCCATGTATCTTCAGTGATGGGAGGGCATACTGAAGTCGAGGGAAAGTTTTCTTGAGGTGATTTAAATTGATAGAATTTTGTGGGGCACATATGTTCCAAGGGGACTGCTGGTAGAATTGGTAAGGTGAGATCCATTTCTTCATTTATAATAACTTCCCAAGAAACCCAAGGGCTCAAACTCTTGGTGGGAAATCCATAACCCCTAAGTTACAAAACGTCTGAATCAGGGAAAAGTTCTTCAATACCTAACTACAGGAGCAAGAAAATGCTGTTGGGATTATGTCATTTCATTACCAGTGAATAAAAGTAGCTGAACACTTCACAAGAATGGAAGCTGACCCCCCTCTCCCCTCCAGAAGAATTGACTTCAGAGGACAGCACTGAAGCTACAGCTCAGGGAGAGGGACATGTCTGATCAGAGCACACAGGAGCAAATGAAGGGGGGGGGAGTGGAGTATATCCTGGCCCACCAAGCTGTGAGAACGATATTTACTCAGAGCAGCCAATGAACAGAGGACCATAGGGCTGGCTCCCACTAAGAGACACAACATCCCTCACTGATCCATAGTGCTACAGCGGACAACACTGGAGACACAGTGCGGGAACTGTGCCTGATCTGACCCCACCACACCAAGGTGAAACACTAAGGGTGTGCAACACAACAGTAAGGGGGGGCAGAGCAATGAATTCTCCAGGGAATACCGAAAATAGACTTTTGGGCCAGGTCATGGCACCCCATCAGGCTCAACTGGAAAACACCCCTAAAGGTCAACAAACAGACCTCGAACTATTTATACGCTTTCTTTTGGGTTTTTGTTGTTGTTGTTTTCCTTTGTTGCTTTGTTTTACTGTCTTGTTTTTGTGCATATTATCTCTGTATGTCTCTCTAGAGAAGATAGGCGGGATAAACAATCTGGAGGAGAAAACAACAGGACCAGCGGTTCCAGGAGGGGGTGGGGGTGGGTAGGAAATGGGTGTTAACCCAGAGACAAGGGATCAACAAATGATCTAAAATCGATGGCGAGGAGGGTGTAGGAGGCCTGGTAGGGCTTGATCAAGGGCAATGTA